GTTTATCATGCTGGAGAGACCATGGTAAGATATTCATTCAGCTGTTTGTGTCAATAGTTCTGAAGTTATTGAAGATATCTTCCAGAGGAAGGAAGGATATTTTAATTAGAATTATTCTGGAATATGAAATGCTTTAACCATTAATGAAAGTAATGGCCAGTAAAAATTTTTTTGGTAAGTACAGTGAGTTAGAGCAAACATTCCACAGTTCCAGCGCAAAGCTGATTTCATGTAGCTATATGGGAAGTAGTGTCTGTCCACATGAGGATCTAATGACTAAATGGTTGGTTTACAGTGACAGAAAATATTGGGTATTGAAACATGGGAAGAGCAGTTTGACTGTTAAGTCTCACATTTCATTTGATGGACTTTAGATTTTATTTGAATTTGCTGCTGTAGAGATTTTGATATTATAGTTAACGGCATGTCTGACCTTCTTTTATTAGATCTATCCAGGCTCGGTGGAGTTAATGCAGGTGATTGAAGATTTTATACACATTGTTGGAATGGGAATGATGGACTTTCAGAATTCATACCTAATGACTGGAAATGTAGGTAAGAAATAGGAATTTTTTCTATCAAATTTATGATCTATTGAAAATCAGAAATTGCAAGTATGTACTATAGAGTTGCTGCTTCTATCACAATCCAGATTGGGCTGCTCCTCCTTCTCCGGATTATCTCTGTTGCTTGGTTATCTCCTCTCTGGTTTAACACAGTTGCTATGCCTTACACATTGGACTTCTCCATAATCATATCTCAAGATCTAAATGCAAAGTTTCAGACTCTAAATAAATTTCAGAAAATACTCATCAGAATACTATGAACTGTAGGTATATGTTAGAGCATTTCCAGGATGTACAGTGTTTCAAATGGTAATTTAGAAAATCATGCTAATTAAGATAATAATGATATACTTAATAGCTTGAGAAATGTTAATTTTGTTGACATTATCTTTTTTAATATTCTGTTCTCCCAAAGAACAGTCTTTGCACATTATGGTGTGATAATAATCAGCATAGACAGATAAGCAATAGTTAAAAAAAAAATCTATTAGTTGCCAAAATAATTTAAGCCTATGGTTTCTTACATCAGTTTTTTCTATGTGTGACAGTTTCAAAATTTTATTCAAATTTATTTTTCAAACTTTGTTTTTGGCACTGGAGAGTTGCCAGGCAATATAATTACATAATAACAAACATCAAATATGAAGATTTTTAGAAACTGAATTCCACTTATTAGTAGCCATAAATATTTCTGCAATATCACAGCATTTTATTAAAAATTCAACCAAAAATTAGTTTGAAAAGCTATTTTCTAAGCATTTTGTCTTTGCTTAGTATCTTCCTTATTTGAATAACTTTCTATAGCTACATTTTTATAATGCCAGGAAAGTATTAGGTAGTTGTATGTAATGAAGAAATTCAAAATATATGTTTGTCTGACAGCAAAACTTCTGGTGTCGATACAGATTTTCAGTTAGCATCTTCCTGCATCTATATGTCAGTGAGTTCTTCAGCAAGTCATTAGAATCAGTTAGAAAATAGGCTAATTTAGAAACTAATTGGCAGAATAAAGCGGGGAAATTTTTATAATGTCCCTATTAAAAATCTAACTTGCTGTGCAATAATAAATATTTATTATTGTTGTCCAGTTCATATTTAGATTGACAGGACTGTAAACACTAGCCCCTGTAAGGCATAGCCTTGTATTGGAGACATGTCAAAGAACTCACCAAAAAGAACTCTGGCAGTCTTAAAATGTTTAAAACATTTCAGTAGGCAGTATGGGGAACTTTAGCTTTTAACCAGTGATTTATTATTTCTGTTGTTTACTGTTTGCACTGTAGTACCACTTAAAGCTTCTTCCAGTTGTCAGTCCTTCATTATGCTAAGGCCTGCACAAATTTATAAAGAAAAGACAGTATCTTTCTTGAAATGCTTGTTCCATGGCATTTTT